GAATGGGGTGGAGGGGGGGGGGGGGGAGGTAGCAAATGGGGGGTAGAGGGTGGGCCCGAGCAGGGCTTTGATTCAATTCGAGCTCCGAACGCAATGGCGACCGTTGTGAAATTCTACGTTTTTACTTTGCTTTGTGTATTACGTACTTTTTTCAATTATTTTGTAATTCGGTTACGATTGCAACTTGCTTTTTTTATAACGTCATCGCGGAAACACGTGGTCGTTGTTTTTTTTTGGAGTTACTTCATGATATGTATGGTAATTTTATATTTTAATTATATCTTTTAAGTTTTTTTTAATGTTTATGCTTATTTTCGTTTTCGAGGTTATTTGGGCTTGTGTTCGATATTTTACTCAGACTTTTTGACTTTATAGCTTTTATTATTGGCAGATTGATTCGGGTTTTTTATTTTGACAGGTATCTTCTACCTGTGCGTTCAATAGCTATCGGAAGTTGAATGATCGAATCGCTATTCATATGACTATACCTACATGGCCACGTGGCAGGATTCTTAACCCGATCGGATACATCGGAGACTCAGTGAACTTGAAAAGATTTCGATATACCTGTCGACTCGCTTCCTTTCTTGTACCTGTCTACCTGCCATGTGAATCGAGGGAATTGAGATCCTTACTCCCCGATCCTTTGGCGACTAATCCTCCTGACATTTCTTTTGACAAATTGGTACCACAAAAGCCTTATAAATGGAGAAAAGCATCTGAGCGAGTCATCAGCTTTCACTAAAATTGTCATGGAGAATGTCACGGTATATCTTAAATATAAATGTCAAAGGAATTTTGAGCCGATCATACAGCAACACTTGAAATATTAATTTTACGCCTCGACATATATTTTATTGTTTCGCATATGAATTTGGAAATAATGAAAAACGCTGGAACGTATATAGAAAATTTTGAAATATATTTTTAAAATAACATTAATTTTATATGAAGCGTATGGTTAATTAAGCTAAATAAAGTATTTTAATGTCCTCTGATTACAGAGCAGGATCATCAATAATTGTAGTGTACTAAAATGGGGAAAATTATAAAATGGAATTTTGTAATTATTAGAACGTATATAATTTCACTAAAATTTTTACTGGCTAGACAACCCATTCGAGCATTAAATTGGATCGAAATTATCACGGGAATCGTACTTCCGGTAAAGCCATGATGAGATTTCGTTTGATGAAATCGGATTTGATTGAATCTGGTTAAATATTGCACGCAGTTGAAATGAACAGTTCTAGAATATTAATATATTTTTATTTGGAATGAAATTTGATACGATTAGACGGGAAAAGTACGGGCATTATAAATACTCGAAGCGAACAACATAAATATTTCAATGCACGTACAATAATTTATAGTTAGAAAAAAAAGTCCACATTAGAATGTGAAAGTAAAAAAAAACATATCACAATGAATATTAGTATTGTCTAAGAAGATGGCGACGGCACGTGCTGCCTTCGAACGTCGTTAAAAGTACACGCTGCGCCAGAAGAGAAACGAAGTTTTAATAATCCTTCTCATCCCCAGGGCGTAACTACCCCAGCCATTTTTTTTCTTTCGTAAGCGGAGAGTTTCGGAATTCGTGGACGGAGAGGGTAGTTAAGTTCAATCGGCGTATTCGCCGCGTCTTATTAAGCCTCGATAAGCATAGCGCGGGGGCCGCTGAATGTCTTCATCGGTTTGGACTTAGTCTTCGAGCTCCCTCAAACTTAATTACGTCGTGATTAAAGTACAAACTAATTCACGGTTTTACGAGGGGCAAGTCTCAGTCCCATCCCTCGAATCCTCGAGAAACCCTTTAGAATCTTGGCAATCGTCAATCGCCATTTTTCCGAACGATTTCTCAAGTTCGCATTTTCGAAGCCATAATTTATGTTACACCCTGTATGTTGTTAAGGGTGTAACCGATCTTCTATGGGACTTACCCATTATTCAAGAGAACATTTAGTTTCTCGCAGATTCCGCTAGGGTGTGCGCTATGTATGAGCTTCCTGCAGTATCGACTCTTTACCGACAGTCACAGGCATGTATACCAGTTACCGTGGCAGGGTCTTAACTTTATCGCATACAGATTCCTGTTTTACCATTACACGAGTTGAAATCTGAATTATCGACCGTCAGAGATTCTCAAAGAGTTCACTGGGTAGGACATTTAAATTTGGACGTTAAGAGGTGAGGCACGTACTTTCGAGATACATCAAGTCACCATCTAAGCGATTTATAAGCGCGATAAAACAGACTCAACTCCAATATTCTTACCAAATAGCTGAACTGTTCGGTTAAGCAAAATTTACCGAACACTCCCTGTCTAGTCGGTATTCACGATCCCTTGCGCAATTCTGATTTTATTACCACCCTACATGGCCACTTGAAATTGAGAGTTAATTACCCACCGTATTTCTGCCGTCGGGCAAATATCTTTAAGGTCCCTTTCCTAAACGCTTGAACCCCTAATTAAAATGGATGCTCTCCTAATAAGCGATTAAAGTAATCAATGACTAAATAACTCGATCCCTAACCAGGATTTATATTCGTAAGATTAACAAAGCAATAATCTTATTTTTCATTTTTCCTCGAAAAAAAATATAAATAACGTCCTTCTTCTTTCAGATCGTCGAACTCCGCAAATTTAATGTCCCCTGAATCGGAACGCTGCCAATTCTACCGGCGGAAATAAATAACGTCCACTTCGCCGGGTTATCTCGGCTAGAAATATTATGCATAACCTCACCCGACGAGTATGGTAAGCGCAGCTAATATATTCTCGCCTGTAAAAACAGTTATTATTTTTTTCCGACAATTGTTCGTCCCGAGGGCAGATGTCTATTGAAAAGGTCCACACATCTCCTCGCTATGACCCTCACATTCTCTCACACGCATTTCTAATTTGCATACGCAGGAACGAATCGCAGAACCTCGGCAGGTAGTCCATCCAGTCCGTGTATGAGTAACCCATATAGTCCCATAGACGTTAGCAGGAATAGCATGCGTGAGCATTTCTACGCAATCACACACACGCACGTGCGTATCCTAGACAAGAGGGGTGGGGAGACGTTAGTGAAAATGAAGTGGCAGCGTGCATTAATAACTATTACAAAAGCCCGATGCCAGTCGGGTGGCTTTTTTTTAATACAAGTTGCACTCGACAGAAATACATAACGGCTACATAAGTGCTAGTGTCGGATGACGTCAGTATACACGTGCATGGGAATCCACTGCAATTGCGTAAAACAAAAATTGCCTGGTGAACCATTTAATTGATAACCAGAATCCCTTTCATTGAAGGTTCAATGGATAAATTTGGGT